TAATTTCTGGGAGACAACTGAAATAGCTTACCCTTCACTATTTTTATCCTCACGACTGGTGTGGAATCAAGAATTGATTTCCTTCCTAGTAAGAATAACATTTGCCTGCGAGGGTTTTTTTTTTTTTAAATGTTTTGTTTTGACTTTCCACGTTGGGCAAAATTAGTAATGCAATCTGTTTTGATCGGGATCTGTTCAAGGTATCTGCCAGAGACATCTTGGCATACAATCGAAATCAGTACATTTCCAGAAAATAACTGCTCTTTTGCTCTCTCTCTCTCTCTCTCTCTCTCTTTTAACCCCATTGTTTTTTAGGAGTTGGTGAGAGGCGTACAACTCGGAGCATTATATAAGACTGTCAGCTTAATAATGGATCTGGAGAAATCTTCTGTTTGGGGGTCGCTGAAACAAAGGACGAAGCCTTTGTTACAAAACCTGAGCGTCAGAAGGACTAAAAAAAGCTCAACTAAACTCATCGAGAAGCGACAGATTCATCCTTTAGATCGCCGACTCAGCTCCTCGGTGCCCGATGTGCTGAACATAGAAACAAAACTTGAAGAAGAGACCCACTATTCCAGGGCCAAAGCCATGTCCACTTACTTCCCAAGTGGCTTTTCCGCCACCGAGTTATTTCTGGAAACCAGTAGTAACTCTTCCACCAGGCAGACGGAGGAAGAATGGCAATGGCGGAAGGAGGAGACCGTCCACTTGGAAATTGGGGTTCGGGAAACGGAGGAGTTGGTGGTTGGTGGACCAGATTTGGAAGAGAGGCGGAAATCCAGCGAAGATTTTTTTGAGCTGCTGCAAAGGAATACTTTCAACAATGACCTTACGGAAGATCCCCTTGAGGTAATGTGCTTTGTGGGTGGGGGGGACAATTAAATCTGACATAAGTTTCTTCACAGCATGTTTCCTAAGCCTCGGGCAATTTTTTAAAAACAGGGCAAATCAAAATGAATCTTTTTTTGGAGGGTTGGGAGATAGGCTTAAATGCACAAAAAGGTTTATATCACTGGGGAATTGATGTAGATCTAATTCATCCAGAGCGGTGTTTCTTAACCTTTGCAAGTTGGTGATGTGTCGACTTCCAACTCCCAGAATTCTGGGAGTTGAAGTCCACATATCTTCAGCTTGCCAAGTTTGAGAAACACTGACCTAGAAACATTGATTTAGAGAAGATAATCCAAGATTGCATATAGTTGGTTTGCTACAAGGTGGAAATGATTCGACACTGCCTTGTCGTTGTTCTGTTTGTAACAACTCAAGTCTAGTCTACAACTCAAGGCAAACAATTTCAATAAGACACAGCTTTTCTGAGATCAGCCAAGGGACCTGTCTATAAGTCGGGAGCAACTCAAGGGCATTGTTACTGCAAATTGTATTTCTGCTTTTAAAAAGGACTGTTTTAATCATTGTCATTGCAGCTTTCTTCAGCCTGTCGTATCTGCCTCCCCAAATTTTAGGTTTTGTAATCCCAACACATTAAGTTGAATTTACTTACGGGAAATCGAGTGAAAACTTTTTCCATTTGAGCCAAAGTATATTTAAGGCAACAAAGTGGTATATATTCAACCACTTTAGAAACGACTTTAGAAAATCATAGATTCTTTAAATTTCAAACTCCTACAATCTTATTGGCCATTTCCTGTTTAGACAATTTAATTTTCACTTGCTAGATTCTCTGCTTTCACTTTGACTGATTTGCTGTCTAATCTGTCTCCCTCCTTCCCTCCTTCCCTTTCTCTCTTTCTCTTTCTCTTTCTCTTTCTCTCTCTCTCTCTCTCTCTCTCTCTCTCATTTTCTTTCCTAGTGATGGTATCAAAAATAATGGAGTGTGTAGGATTGTTTGTTTCCCATTTGCATCTCAAAAAGACATCAATTGGCTTAATATTTAGCATTAAACAGAATTGTAAAATTAAGGGTTACTCATCTGAGTAAGCGCTCTTGTACCCAAATCAAAATACACATTTTATTTCTGGGTTTAAAAAAAAAATCTAGTAATACTGAATTTAAAAATCAGTCAAAAGCTATTTGAGGCAAGTGGCAGCTGTTGATATGGGAACTAAGTACCTCTGATGACATTCTTATGTTTCATCCTTGGACTTGAAAGCTTTTGTCTTTATTTTTCAGTTGACTCATACAATTGAGCTGAAGCAAACCCTCCAATTTTCTTCTCAGGGAAGCTTGAACATGCTGCTTTTCAGTGACTATTTTTGGGACTGGAAATATTACACATCAGATTAGATGGAGATGGTTCAAGTCATTCCCCATCTGGGAAATCTTTCAGATAGCTGTGGGGGCTCCATCACTGGAGGTTTTTAAGAAGAGATTGGACAGCCATTTGTCTGGAATGATATAGCGCAGTGATGGCTAACCTTTTTGCCGTCGTGTGCCAAAAGCGGAGGAGCATGGGGGGGGGGTCATGCGCACAGGTGCCCACACCCATAAGTCAATGCCCCACCCCCTTGTCCGTGCGCGTGCGACCCCCCGCACTTCCCCCCGCTTTTGGCACACGATGGCAAAAAGATTACCGGTGGGCCTGGTAGGCCTGTTCTTTGCCCTCCCCAGGCTCCAGAGGCTTTCTTGGAGCCTGGGGAGGGTGAAAACTCCCGGACCACCCCAACGATGCCCTTGAAGTGATGTCCCGGTGCCTGGAGGCCGTACGGATCTGGATGGGGAGGAACAGGCTCAGGCTCAACCCATCCAAGTCTGAGTGGCTGTGGTTTCCGACGTCCCAATATTTTTATTTTATTTTTATTTTTTATTTTATTTTATTTTGAATTTGTATACCGCCCTTCTCCCTGAGGACTCAGGGCGGTGAACAGCCAAGTAAAAACATCAAGTACAAATATTAAAATACAGTTAAAATATACATATATAAATTTGGCCCCATTAATTAAAAACAATAAACAAAACACTTAAAAACACTTAAAAAATTAGGCCAGCCCAGCTTGCTGGAAAAGGAAGGTTTTAAGGGCACGGCGGAAGGCACCGAGGTCTTGGATTCTCCTTATCTCTGGAGGCAATTGATTCCAGAGGGTAGGTGCCCCCACAGAGAAGGCCCTCCCCCTGGGGGTCACCAGCCTGCACTGTTTGGCTGATGGCACCCCGAGGAGGCCCTCTCTGTGGGAGCGCACGGGACGATGGGAGATGGTGGTGCCATCGCTGGTGCCATCGCTGACTATTGGGGGCGAAGCATTGGCCCCCACGGAGAGGGCTCGCAACTTGGGCGTCCTCCTGGATTCACGGCTGTCTTTAGAAGAGCACTTGACGGCCATGACCGGGAGGATTTTTCATCAGGTTCGCCTGATCTGCCAGTTGCGTCCCTTTCTAGATCGGGACTCGTTACGCACAGTCACTCATGCCCTCGTCACCTCTCGTCTGGACTATTGTAATGCTCTCTACGTGGGGCTCCCCTTGAGGTGCACCCGGAGGCTTCAACTGGCGCAGAGTGCGGCCGCGCGGGTGGTTATGGGAGCAACGTGGAGCTCCCATGTAACACCTCTCCTGCGCGAGCTGCACTGGCTCCCGGTGGTCTTCCGGGTGCGCTTCAAGGTTCTCGTTACCATCTTTAAAGCGCTCCATGGCTTAGGACCTGGTTATCTATGGGACCGCCTGCTACCACCAATAGCCTCCCACCGGCCAGTACGCTTCCATAGAGAGGGGCTCCTCCGGGTGCCGTCGGCCAAACAATGTCGACTGGCGGCCCCTAGGGGGAGAGCTTTCTCTGTGGGGGCACCTACAATCTGGAACGAGCTTCCCCTGGAAATATAGAGGATCCCGAATCTTCGCACCTTCCGTCGCGCGCTTAAAACGTTTTTATTTCATCAAGCTGGCCTGACCTAAATCATCTCCTTTTTTAAATTTAAATTTTAAACATAAATTTTTAATCTGTTTAATTATGGGGTATTTTAAAATTCAGCCTAAATTATTTAATTTGTTTTAATTTGTTTTAGATTTTGTATTTCCTGTGTTTTATCTTCTGGCTGTTCACCACCCTGAGTCCTTCGGGAGAAGGGCGGTATAGAAATTTAATAAAATAAATAAATAAATAAATAAATAAATAAAACTGCCTCCCTACCCCCCCCCCCGCCCCACGAGGCCCTCAGGAGGCCGGAAACAGCCCATTTCCTGACTTCCGGTGGGCCCAAAAGGCCTAAAAATCAGCTGGCCAATGCGTGCTGGAGCTGAGCTAGGGCAACATTCGCATGCCCACAGATATGGCTCCGTGTGCCACCTGTGGCACGCATGCCATAGGTTCGCCATCACGGGTATAGGGTCTCCTGTTCAAGCAGAGGGTTGGAGCAGAAGACTTCTAAGGTGCCTTCCATCTCGGTTATTCTGTTATTCCTGAAACCCCATGACCTTTAATAACCTCATAATCTTCCCCAGAAACCTTGAAAAATTTCTGCAATCTCACAAGGCCTCAGCCATTTCAAGAAGATAATTGATGTCATTTGGCAGGGTATCTTGTCTATCGTTACCAGGGATTGAATGCAGTTTCTAGTGTTTTGCTATTCCTCACCTTTAGGATTGCTGTAGAAATTAATTGTTCAGTCAAAAATTTGACAGTCAGTAATTTCATATTATTCATAACCTTACGTCCCTGGTAACGTTTCGTTCACTTTGTATTTTTTTTTCTTCCTTTGTGTTACTTCAGATGGTAAGAATAGAATAGAATAGAATTTTTTATTGGCCAAGCATGATTGGACACACAAGAAATTTGCCTTTGGTGCACACGCTGTCATAAAAGAAAAGATGCATAAAAGAAAAGATACATAAAAGAAAAGATACGTTCATCAAGAATCATAAGGTACAACACTTAATGATAGTCATAGGGAACAAATAAGCAATCAGGAAACAATATCAATTTAAATCATAAGGATACCAGCAACAAAGTTACAGTCATACAGTCATAAGTGGGAGGAGATGGGTGATAGGAACGATGAGAAGATCAATAGTAGTGCAGACTTAGTAAATAGTTTGACAGTGTTGAGGGAATTATTTGTTTAGCAGAGTGATGGCGTTTGGGAAAAAACTCCTTGTGCCTAGTTGTTCTGGTGATCTGTCTATCTATCCTATCTATCTATCTATCTATCTATCTATCTATCTATCTATCTATCTATCTATCTATCTATCTTATTTTAGTTAAACACTGGTGGAACCTTTCACCAATGGAATACGATATGTCAACAAAACCTCCCTAATTCACAATTTCTTCTTTTTTCTGTAGCAATCATATGGAAATTCCAGCCTAGACTCCTCATATTCTTCTCAGACATCTGATCCTGTGAGTAATTTTGTTGTTTTTGTTTGAAACTGGAGTGAAACTCAAGAATTAGAGGTCAATTGGATGCTTCTAAATATTAGTTCAGCAATACTTTTCTTTTTCGTAGGCTTTTATGTGCATATTCTTTCTAGCCAGGTTTTACCTACGTAAGCTAAGATGTTCTAAAGCCCTGGTTCTGCGAAATCTCATTCACAAGTTTCTGGGCTTTTTATTTCTAGCTGACAAACAGCAACTCTGTGTTGCTCTCTGGCAGAAATAGCTATCTGAGTCTCCCAGAGAGCAACACAGAGTTGCTGTTTTGTCAGCTAGAAATAAAAAGCCCAGAAACTAACAGCCACATCGGACAATCTTAGCAACGGAAATTATTTGATTATTTCTTCTAGTTCCATCATGTGTTTTGTGGGAGAGATCCGATTGACATGGCTGAGTGGAGGCCCATTATGTGGAAAACACATCTTATAAAAAACACAGAACATTCACTGAAATCAGAGGCACTCTTTGTGCATTTATGTGCTTCATAGATTTCTCTCTCTCTTTTGCCCCCGACTTTTATAATTTTATTAATTTAATAATATGACACAAAAAGAATACAAAAACAAATATTGGGGAAATTAGGAAAGGAAAAAGGGAAGTGGATAGTGGGGGAAACGTCATAGGTTTCTCAAGGCACAGTCCAGGAAAAAAAAAAAAGAGAGAGAAAAGCGAGAAAGCCAAAAAAGAAAACCAGAAAGCGATTTACAAACTTTAAAACTGATTGAAATTTTTGAAGTAACACTAGGTCAGCGCTGCCTGTAGAAGTGGCCAAAACATGTATTAATGTTGGAGTACTCATCTCTAATGATCTAAGTGCCCGAGCCCACTGTAACAGCATTGCCAAAAAGGCATTAAGAGTTGTTAATCTAATCTTGTGTAGCTTCTTCTCTGGTAATATTGTACTGCTGACTAGAGCATACAAAACATTTGCTAGACCAATTCTCGAATACAGCTCATCTGTCTGGAACTCACATTGCATATCGGACATTAATACAATTGAGAGAGTCCAGAGATACTTTATGAGAAGAGTCCTCCACTCCTCTGCTCACAACAGAATCCCTTACGCCACCAGGCTTGCAATTTTGGGCTTGGACACCTTAGAACTACGCTGCCTTTGATCTGACCTAAGCATAGTACATAAAACTATCTGCCACAATGTCCTACCTGTCCATGACTACTTCAGCTTCAACCGCAACAATACACGAACAAACAATAGATACAAACTTAAGGTAAACCGCTCCAAACTCGATTGCAGAAAATACGACTTCAGCAACAGAGTGGTCAATGCCTGGAATGCACTACCAGACTCTGTGGTTTCTTCCCCAAATCCCCAAAACTTTAACCTTAGACTGTCTACTGTGGTTCTCACCCCATTCCTAAGAGATCTGTAAGGGGCATGCATAAGCGCACCAGTGTGCCTTCCGTCCCTGTCCTAATGTTCCTTTCTATTCGTATCCATTTCATGTATTCATTTTATACATTTCATGCATTCACAATCATGTTTATACTTTTATCTGTAACCTTATATATGCTTGACAAAATGAATGAATGAATAAATAAATAAAATGAACAAATTAGCCAAAGTTTCTATCTGATCTAAAAAGTTCTAACCTTATTTAAGAAGACAGGCAAAAGCTAATACCTGAAAGCTGTGGGTTAAAGAGCCCCACAAATTTGAATGTGTTCTAAGTCAATATTCAGAGCTGTATAGATTTTCAAGTTGAACTAAATTTTATATTAGATTTATTTTAGACACTGATGCATGTTCCTATAGTTTAATTTACCAGTTTTCTAAAGAGCGGATTGCATATGATTTCCAGCAAAAAGCATAAAATATCCTGACAGATATATTTGATTTGGAGACCAAGAATTGCTTAGGAAGTCACGGAGGTGATGGAACAAACGATGGAGTAGGGAAAGGGAGATGGATGATGGTTGACTTGATAGTGGCCAAATCAAGAGTTGACTCCAGCAAGGAATTTGACTTTTTGTGAAGTCAGTTGATTGACTATTGTCTGTGTTGGCTCTTCAGGGAAAGTGAAACTGATAGCTGACTTTATTTTTTTTCAAGACTCTTGAGGGAGCCAATGATGGTTTGAGTAAACCCAGTTCCTTTGCATATCTGTTGATGATACACCTGAAAGAAGGCAGGAACCTGGTCATCCGGGATCGCTGTGGTGAGTCACTTTCTGAATCGTTTCTGATTTCTGAGACACATAAAATGCAGATGCCCATGAAGTCTGTATACGTTTTATGTTTTTGGTTTCTGTGAGAAATTATGCTACTGAAGTTCAGCAGTTGGCTCCTGACTCAAATTGTGGTCTCCATGGAACCTTCTGGGACTTCCAAGTTGATAGATTGGTAATATTTATTGGGTCGGTGATCAGCAAAGTTTAAAAGAACAAAACCAGAGTGAAGCAGGCAAAAATGGGAAAGAATTATGAAATAAAGGCAGAAAGAGGGAGGGAGGGAGGGAAGGAAGGAAGGAAGAAATTAATGAAGGAAAGAAAGCAGGAACTAATCAGACTTGACTAAGAAGCTCTTAATTCTTTCTTTTGTTAAAGAACAATGTATATGTGATCCTTTCCTTTCCTTTCCTTTCCTTTCCTTTCCTTTCCTTTCCTTTCCTTTCCTTTTTCTCCTTTCTCCTTTCTCCTTTCTCCCTTGCCTTCCCTTCCCTTCCTTCCTTTTCTTTTTCTTTCCTTTTTCCCTTTCCCTTTCTTTTCTTCTTTCTCCTTCCTTTCCTTTCCCTTTCCCTTTTCCTTTTCTCTTTCTTTTCTCCTTTCTCCTTTCCCCTTCCCTTCCCTTCCCTTCTCTTTCCTTCCCTTCCCTTCCCTTCCCTTCCCTTCCCTTCCCTTCCCTTCCTTTTTCCTTTTCCCTTTCCCTTTCCCTTCCCTTCCCTTCCTTTTCTTTTTTTCCTTTCTCTTCCTTTTCTCCTTTCTCCTTCCTTTCCTTTCCCTTTCCCTTTCCCTTTCTCCTTTCCCTTTCTCTTCCTTTTCTCCTTTCTCCTTTCCCCTCCCTTCTCTTCCCTTCCCTTCTCTTTCCTTTCCTTCCCTTCCCTTCCTTTTCTTTTTTCTTTTCTTTTTCCCTTTCTCTTCCTTTTCTCCTTTCTCATTCCTTTCCTTTTCCTTTTCCCTTTCTCTTCCTTTTCTCCTTTCTCCTTTCTCCTTTCCCTTCCCTTCCCTTCTCTTTCCTTCCCTTCTTCCTAGAGAACTATATTTCATGTAGACCTCTTGAGGTCTCATTTAACTTAAATTGCTGTGAATTGTTGAAGTTTAATTGTTTAAGTTGCAGTTCCAGCACCTCCAGAGGTCCTTAGGATATGATTGGTTACCCTGGGCTCATATGTAAATAGAAACACCATTGAGGTTTGGACTTTGTAGCTCTCTGAATTAAAAACAAACAAACAAACAAACCAGATTAAGTGCCAGAACAGAATGACATCCAGTCTAGCCTACGCTCCTTGAATTTTCTGTTTTGTTTTTTTTTATTGGATTTATATACCGCCCTACTCCCGAAGGACTCAGGGCGGTGAACAGTCACAGAATAAAACACATAAATACAAAAATTTAAAATAGAATAAAAACGAATTAAATAATTTGGCTGAGACAAATTTAAAATACCCAATAATTTAAAAACAAATTAAAATTTACATTTAAAAAGGGGAGAAGATTTAGGCCAGGCCAGCTTGATGAAATAAAAAAGTCTTAAGCGCGCGACGGAAGGTGCGCAGATCCGGGATCCTCCGTATCTCCAGGGGGAGCTCGTTCCAGATCATAGGTGCCCCCACAGAGAAGGCTCTCCCCTGGGGGCCACCAGTCAACATTGTTTGGCCGACGGCACCCGGAGGAGCCCCTCTCTATGGAAGCGTACTGGCCGGTGGGAGGCTATTGGTGGTAGCAGGCGGTCCCGTAAATAACCAGTAGCTTCCAATCATACACCAGCTGTAACCATCTACGAAGGCCCGAGGAGGGTTACCGCTTCCTGCTGTATGTGGAAATAGAGATTCTTACTAAAAGAAACCCATCTAAGTAGTTTTCCATAGGAAGTGGGCAGCAATTCCCCTTAATGAAAGATCTGCGATAATTCTGCATTTTCTTTGACGAGGCCAGTTGATTTTAGTGAGAATGTGACGTCACTCTTGTTTCCTTTTGGTGGTATTTTGGTTTAGAGGTGTTTTATCAAGTCTTTAGACAGCAAAGGCCCCACTGCCCCTGCTACCAAATTCTTTGAATTAGTGAAAAGAAAAAATACCTCCAAAAAAAGAACGAATTGTATTATGTGCCACGATGCAAAATATCTAATAGGGATTAGAACTTGTCCTCTTTTCTTTTTTCCCAAAGAAGTTTTTTGTTTCAATAAAAAGGTCATTTCATCAAAGCGAAAAGAACAGTGGCTTATATTTCATCTGTCGTGCTAAGTCGTGGTTTCTTTTAACTGTGGTTTGTTAAGCAGGCTGCAGTAGCTGAGTTTGTGGTCCCAACACTTTGGATAATGGCTTAGTCTATTGTGCCAATCAGATTAGAGAAATATATATATATATATATATATATATATATATATATATATATATATATGTAGGTCTTTGGTTATTCGGGTCTTCTCCCACGTAAAATTGGAAGTGTCTTGGCGACGTTTCGACGAAGTCTCATTCGTCATCTTCAGGCTGGTGTTCTCGGCTTCGTGCTTCCAGAACTTCTGGCTGAAGTTCTCAGTTTGGTGCTTATGGGCAAACTGTGTGATCGTAACATGTTACGATCACACAGTTTTGTAACATGTTACGATCACACAGTTTGCCCATAAGCACCAAACCGAGAAGATGATGAATGTGATTTCGTCGAAACGTCGCTACTACCCTTTTAGGGATATGTTTACAATTACACGGGAAGAAACCTGAAATATTAACTGTACACACACACACACACACACACACACAAAATTTTATTAAAGATTGCCTTTAATTACAGATAAAAATTAATGCAAACTGCAAGTAATCAAAGGATAAAAGGAAATTAGAAAAATGGAGAAAAAAATAAGAACATAGCAAAGAAAAGGAAATGTAGAAATAACTTCCCCTTTCATCACAAGTAAAAACAATTTTAATGACTTATCAGCTTCTGCTGAAAGCAACAATCTTTTCATCCCATAGCTGATCTCTTATTTATAAACAGATCTTAAAAATTTATCTTTTTAAAATCTTATTTATAAACAGATCTTATTCAATGGGAGGAAAAACATTTAATTTATGTTTTAGTGGCTCCCTCTGCTGGATATGTTGTAACATTGCAATGTATTAGAGAGAAGACTTGAGTAAATATGTCCCTCCAATGTTTTGCCAACTGCAATCTGTTAATCTCTTCGGCAAAATAAAGACTGCTATTACTATTTCCCCTATTTCAAGCTTCTTAAATCAGCCTCTATATTCAGAAGCACATTGTTTGGAAACTGAGTCAAGTCTGACTTCTCCTTTCCTAAAAGCTTTCTCCTGCAAAAAGATGGGGGTTATTATTATTATTTTTACTTCCTCATTGTCAGTATTCTTTAAAATTTATTTCAAATTTGTTGAGGTTGCATTTTCAGTTAGCCTTATAGCTACGAGGTGGTGGAAGTTGCTGGAGTCCTCTCTTTTCCATCCGTTATTTTTCTTTCACCCTATGGATCTGACGTTCCGATTCACCTCTTCCTTCTTCTTCTTGTTGTGCCATATCCATCATCGGATGTTCGTGATCATGTTGCCAATTCTATTTTTGTCAACAGCCGCATGAAAAAATGCTGCTGAGTTTTGTCCAAACCAGTCCCTTAGGATTTAAATTTTTTTTTAAAAAAAACCTTTATTGTTAAAACAAAATTTAGACATGGTGGAACTGTCTTGGCCATATCTCCGCCATACAGAATCCTTCCTTTTCTTTTTCTTTCCTTTTTCCCTTTCCCTTTCTTTTCTTCTTTCTCCTTCCTTTCCTTTCCCTTTCCCTTTTCCTTTTCTCTTTCTTTTCTCCTTTCTCCTTTCCCCTTCCCTTCCCTTCCCTTCTCTTTCCTTCCCTTCCCTTCCCTTCCCTTCCCTTCCCTTCCCTTCCCTTCCTTTTCCTTTTCCCTTTCCCTTTCCCTTCCCTTCCCTTCCTTTTCTTTTTCCCTTTCTCTTCCTTTTCTCCTTTCTCCTTCCTTTCCTTTCCCTTTCCCTTTCCCTTTCTCCTTTCCCTTTCTCTTCCTTTTCTCCTTTCTCCTTTCCCCTCCCTTCTCTTCCCTTCCCTTCTCTTTCCTTTCCTTCCCTTCCCTTCCTTTTCTTTTTTCTTTTCTTTTTCCCTTTCTCTTCCTTTTCTCCTTTCTCATTCCTTTCCTTTTCCTTTTCCCTTTCTCTTCCTTTTCTCCTTTCTCCTTTCTCCTTTCCCCTTCCCTTCCCTTCTCTTTCCTTCCCTTCTTCCTAGAGAACTATATTTCATGTAGACCTCTTGAGGTCTCATTTAACTTAAATTGCTGTGAATTGTTGAAGTTTAATTGTTTAAGTTGCAGTTCCAGCACCTCCAGAGGTCCTTAGGATATGATTGGTTACCCTGGGCTCATATGTAAATAGAAACACCATTGAGGTTTGGACTTTGTAGCTCTCTGAATTAAAAACAAACAAACAAACAAACCAGATTAAGTGCCAGAACAGAATGACATCCAGTCTAGCCTACGCTCCTTGAATTTTCTGTTTTGTTTTTTTTTATTGGATTTATATACCGCCCTACTCCCGAAGGACTCAGGGCGGTGAACAGTCACAGAATAAAACACATAAATACAAAAATTTAAAATAGAATAAAAACGAATTAAATAATTTGGCTGAGACAAATTTAAAATACCCAATAATTTAAAAACAAATTAAAATTTACATTTAAAAAGGGGAGAAGATTTAGGCCAGGCCAGCTTGATGAAATAAAAAAGTCTTAAGCGCGCGACGGAAGGTGCGCAGATCCGGGATCCTCCGTATCTCCAGGGGGAGCTCGTTCCAGATCATAGGTGCCCCCACAGAGAAGGCTCTCCCCCTGGGGGCCACCAGTCAACATTGTTTGGCCGACGGCACCCGGAGGAGCCCCTCTCTATGGAAGCGTACTGGCCGGTGGGAGGCTATTGGTGGTAGCAGGCGGTCCCGTAAATAACCAGTAGCTTCCAATCATACACCAGCTGTAACCATCTACGAAGG